CTATTATGCAAACTCTGCTGCAGTTACATATTTCAGCCCAAGGCCATGTTTGCTTTCAACCTCTGACAACATCTGTTTCACTTTAATAATAACTCATCTTAGTTTCGGTAATTGAAACTGTTTTTGCATTCAGAATATTTAATCGTAAAGGCTTGACTAGTTGTTGTTCTTACTCAGATTTTCCCTTTGCTGTTGAGGCAGAAAAATGAAATAGAAACATCTCAAGTAGTTATATTTAGAGAACACCCTCCCTTCTTCCCTTCCCTTCCCTTCCCTTCCCTTCCCTTCCCTTCCCTTCCCTTCCCTTCCCTTCCCTTCCCTTCCCTTCCCTTCCCTTCCCTCCCCTCCCCTCCCCTCCCCTCCCCTCCCCTCCCCTCCCCTTCCCTCCCTCCCTTACTTCTTTTCCTCCCTTCCTTCCCTCCTTCCCCCTCCCTCCTTCCTCCCTCTCTCCTTCACTCCCTCTCTCCCTCCCTCCCCTCCCTCCCTCCCCTTCCCCTCCCTTCCCTTCCCTTCCCTCCCCTCCTCTCCCCTCCCCTTCCCTCCCTCCCTTACTTCTTTTCCTCCCTTCCTTCCCTCCTTCCTCCCTCCCTCCTTCCTCCCTCTCTCCCTCCCTCCCCTCCCTCCCTCCCTCCCTCCCTCCCTCCCTCTCTCCCTCTCTTCCTTCCTTCCTTCCTTCCTTCCTTCTTTCCTTCCTTCCTTCCTTCCTTCCTTCCTTCCTTCCTTCCTTCCTTCCTTCCTTCCTTCCTTCCTTTCTCCCTCCCTCCCTCCCACCCTCCCTCCCTCCCTCCCTCCCTCCCCCTTCCCTCCCTCCTTCCTTCCTCCCCCTCCCTCCCTCCGTCCCTCCCTCCCTCCCTCCCTCCCTCCCTCCTTCTCTCCTTCTCTTCCTCCCTCCCTCCCTCCCTTCCTTCCCCCTGTGCTCTGGATTTACTTCTGGCTCTGCACTCGGGGATCACTCCTGCTTGGCTGTGAGATACTATATGGAGTGCCAAGGATGAAACCCTAGTTGTCAAGTGCAAGGAAAGCACCTACCTGCTGTGTTATCTCACCACATCTCCCCACCCCTCAGAGAATATTTTCTTCAGGAGAGTGGACATGATATAAATAACTTTATATGGTGTAATATGTACTTTCCCCAACAGACTGAAACTTTCACATTTTTTGGTTCTCTGTTTATTATTTCCCTTAGGCTTACCTCTTATTTGAAAATTACATCTGACCTTTGTCCTCTTGCCCATGACTTGTTCATGGCAGTAACTCCTTATTGCTTAAAGTTGTTGAGCTGGTGCCAGCCTTGTCTCCAGGCCTAGCTCTAGCTCATCTGATGTACTTTAAGTTCCCATATGTACCTCTTTCGATAGTTTTCTCTACCATCGCCTTCTCTTTAATAGAGCCTTTTTGATAGTCCAGAAGACCCAGGCCACTTTTTTTAATGAGGTTTCTGGTATATTAAAAACTAAAATATATAATGCGGTTTTAAAACTTCGTGTATGTGGTGGAGTGGTAGTACAGCAGGTAGGATATTAGCCTTGCATGCAGTTGACCCAGGTTTGATTCCCAGCATCCCATCCCCAAGGACTGCCAGGAGTAATTCCTGAATAGAGAGCCAGGAGTAACCCCTGAGCATCACCAGGTATGACCCATAAGAAAAAAAAAACTTTGTATGTTATTAATATTTGCATTTAGCCTGTTATTATTAACATACCAAAATCCCTTGCTTATACAGACTTATTTTGAGACAATGTCTCTTAAGTATGTAAAAGTAGATCCAAGGTCAAAATGGTCCTACTGACTCTGCAAGCCCCTCATTCCAACCAGTGCAATCCCCTTTCTTTGAAATACTATCTGTCAAGATTTTCTGTGATGAAGCCTGTTCTAGTTAGGAAGTAAAGAGGCTAAAGTTTCCTTTTCTCAATTTCAAAAACACACATTAAAATTTATTTAATATGTTTTAAAAATTCTAACTTGCAGTATTTTGTGTACATAGTTTGCTTTCTCTTGTAGATTACAAGTACCTTCATGATGGAGAATGTGTTATATTTAGCATGATGCTTTCTGGTGTATTCCATGAACCATAACAAATTAATAACTCTATTGTGATATGGCATGGCTTTTTCCCTTGAATTTAAAAGTAAAAAATGTATGTGATGGTATTTTTGATTATATACTGGTGTTTTAGTAATTTTTATATTTGTGTACATGTGTATGTATGCGTCTGTGTGCAAACCTATATGCACATGCAGACTATTATTTTGACTCAGGTCATTGAACTAAGAATATTTAGGATAACAACCTCATTTTTTTGGCATTGAGACCAGAGCTGGTGTGCTGAGGCTTTACAGAGATGCAAAGCCGTATTCCCCAAGTTTTATAGTAGTGCATATAAACCAAGAATAAATGAATAAAATTGGAATGAAGCATTTTACAAATTTATGCTGCTTTTATTACAGATGTTTTTTATGGTAAACATGTGTGATAGTTTACAAGGGAAAAAGTAAAAATATCTTAAAATTACATTGTGCAGATAGTACTAAGAAGGAAAGTATTTTTTCTGATGTGTAGAAGCAGATGGAACATGACTTATTTTTCAGTAGTTGAAAATTTTAAATTTATTGGAAAAGAAATTCAGAATAGGAATTTCTCCTGGAATTGTGAGAATAGCAGGTTGAGGTGAAGAAACTTGTCAAAGGGCAGACAGCTGGTTAAGAGGAGGAGGGCTACATTCAAAAGAACAAAAGCAACCGATGCTGGCGTGGATGTGGCGAGAAAGGGACACTCCTTCACTGTTGGTGGGAATGTCCACTGGTTCAGCCCTTCTGGAAAACAGTATGGACGATTCTCAAAAAATTAGAAATTGAGCTCCCATTTGACCCAGCAATACCACTCCTGGGAATATATCCCAGAGAGGCAAAAATGTATAGTCGAAGTGACATCTGCACTTGTTTGTTCATTGCAGCACTCTTTACAATAGCCAGAAACTGGAAGAAACCTGAATGCCCAAGAACAGATGACTGGTTAAAGAAACTTTGGTACATCTACACAATGGAGTACTATGTAGCTCTTAGAAAAGATGAAGTCATGAAATTTACATACAAGTGGTACAATATGGAAAGTATCATGCTAAGCGAAATGAGTCAGAAAGAGAGGGATAGACATAGAAAGATTGCATTCATCTGGGGGATATAAAGTAACAAAGTATGAGATTAATACCCAAGAATAGCTGAGATCAGCACCAGGAGGATTACTCCATAACTTAGAGGCCAGCCGGGTATCCTAGAGGAAAGGGCTATTCAGATAGAGAAGGGAGCACCAAATAAAGGATGTTTGGAGGATCCTCCCAGGAGGGGAGATGCATGTCGAAAGTAGACTATGGACTGAACATGTTTGCCACTCAATGCCTCTTTTGCAGACCACAACACCCAAAAGGAGAGAGAGAACACAGGGGATTGCCCTGCCACAGAGACGGGGGGACGGGGGGATGGGGGTGGGAGGGATATTATCCATGGTGGTGGAAAATGGGCACTGGTGGAGGGATGGGTATCTGATCATTGTATAATTGAAACCAAAGCACAAAAAATTGTAAATCTACAACTTTAAAAAAAAAAATAAAATAAAATAAAGGGGGAAAAAAAAAAAAGAGGAGGAGGGCTAAACATAAGTTAATGCTGTGTTTGATCCATCGACTAGGAATATTTGTATTACTGGTTGAAAAATCAGTGATATCAACTGAAAAGTCAGGTATTTGTATGCATACAAACATTAAGCATTGCTTTGACTTTGTTATTAAGAATAAGAAAATAAAATACCCATTTTTGCTGGTGCCTTGAGAATAGTATATTTTTGGATCAAAAGACTGTGGAATATGGCAGTGTGACTGCATCATGCTGCGGATTGCTCATCGTCTGACTGATGAAAATCTTTAAAAGCAGAGATTGTCACCTGAACTGAGATAGTGATCCTGAAACATTCCAGGACTACTGGAGATATTTCTTGAAAGGACAGCAAGAAAACAGGTCTTTGTTCCAGATGTGTTTGAAATAGAGGCACCATATATTTATTACAAAAATAAGTAAGGCATTTGTCCATACTCGTTTTTCTCATTACTCAAAAAAAAAAAATAAAGCGCATATTACGATGGGGATCAGAGTGATTATGCAGTGGATGGATTGCTTGCGTTGCATGGGGCCAGCCCGGCTGAAATTTATGATACTCATATCATCTTCTGAGCATTGCCAGGACTGATTTCTGAGTACCAAGCCATAGTCAAGTTCCAAGCACCGCTGGGTGCCACCCCCCCAAGCTCTCGCATGTGTACACTCATACACACAAGCTTTGGAAGATATGAAGTATGTTAGTATGTTATTTTAGTTCTTTTTTAATATGAAAAATCTGAAGTTTGTAATATCTGAATTTTGGAAGAAATTTATTTTCCCAGTTGTAGATACTGATTAGCAAATATATCCACCAAGGACTATTTGGTTATAAAGGACCCTACATAATTAAGATATAGGTTGAGGAGATTTCACCTACTTTTTGTCAAATTTTTTTTCTATATGTTGAAAATATGTATTGTGATTTTATTTTCTTTCTAGCTCACATCCGGCTATGCACAGGGGTTGTTTCTGGCTCTGTACTCAGAAATTTCTCCTGGAGGTGTTCAGGGGACCATATGGGATGATGGGAATTGAACCTGGGTCGGCTGCGTGCAAGGCAAATGCTCTACCCGCTGGGCTATTACTGCAGCACTTGTACTGTGATTTTAATTGTATGGTCCAAGCTGGCAACTCTTAAAATGAAGCTGGTAAAAAATACTCAAATTCAACAAGAAACTCCTCTCCCCCCCCCCATACCCCAGTCTTCTTTTTTGAGTGACAGGGTTGAAATAGATCATTCTGTGGACATTTGCATAGCAACCCAGTTAAGTTCAAGTTGCCAGAACCAATTAGATGATAAGACTTACCCAGAGCCAGAAGTGCTAATTCCTTGTTTTGCCTCTGCTGCAGCACTTGTCTTATGGCAATGGCAGTTTGCACGTGGATGCTGCTTTCCAGCAGACTCTCTGGAGTGTGGCCCCAATCAGCTCAGGAAGTGAAGCAGCCCAAGGTAAAACCTCCCTTTGTCCTGGATCAACTGTTGATGCACATTTGTGGAAATATGATAATGTGCTGAGTGTTAATTAGAGCTTTTACTGTCCAAATATTCGGCATTTCTGATGCTTAAGAATTAAAGACATCAATGTTTCCATTTAATTTGATATTAGTTGTTATTGTTTATTTAATTGCTATTTAAAAATGAAATTCAATACAAGATTTATCTTCCTGGTGGGGGTGGGGGGTGGGGGTGGGTATGGAAGAGAAACTGAGACAATAGTGGTGGTAATCTACCCTGGTAAAGGGATGGGTATTAAAACATCCTATGACTGAAACCCAATCATGAATAACTTTGTAACTGTGCATGTCAAGGTGATTCAATAAAAAAAATTAAAAAGAGATTTATTTTCCCTTATGTTTATATTATTGTGGGATGTGTTTTCTGTGTTATTTTTCAGGCTTCCCCGCCACCCCCTCCCCCCCTATATTTTGGCCTCAGGGTTATTGTTCCATAAGCTAATGTCAAGATATCTTATCTACCCGAGTAGCAGACTTCAAAGCAGATCACAACAGCGTTTATGCGTTAGTGTTACCAGAAAAATATGTGTTCGAATTGTTCTCATTTATCTAGGTCCAAATCTGAGCCTTTGTGTTTGTGTATTTATGGAGTCATTTATGAGGTGGCAGGAATTTAATCTGTCGGATATATCATTAGCTCTGGAATCAGGAATCTAGGCCCAGAGGCAACTGCTGACACCATGCCTGTGATTTTGGCCAAACAGTTAAGACTTGCCAGGCTTCTATTTCACTAAGAAAATAGGATTTTGAAATGGATACTCTATCCAGCCATCAGCATTAGACCTCAGTATTCTAAATGTGAATAATTTTTAATCTTTTTAGGGTATCTGATTGGTGGTGATGTTCTCAGATTGCTGCATGGACACATGGATGAATGCCTCACTGTCCCTTCAGGAGAACATGGTGAAGAGCAGCGAAGGTTGGTACCTGAGTCTTGGATCTGGATTCTTGCGTTTTCTCGCCTTTATATAAATATTTTAATAAGTTATTCAGTTTTTTATTTTGTTTTGGGGTCACACCCGGTGGTGCCAAGGGCTTAATCCTGGCTCTGTCCTCTGATCACTTCTGAGGCTCAGGAATGCCAGGGATCAAACCCATGGCGCATGTGAAGCAAATGCCCTCCCCACTGTACATGGGTCTGACCCCTTATTCACTTAATTTTATTGGGGCTGGGGAGTGGAGGTTGAAACACACCTGACAGTGTTCAGGGCTTGTTCCCAGTTCTGTGATCAAGATTATGTCCAGCCATGCTCAGGGGACCATATATGGTACCTAAGATCAAACTGAGTCAGCTGAAGCAGGACAAGTGGTTATCTACTATACTATGTCTCCAACTCCTATTTATTTGGGTTTCTGTCATACCTGATGCTATTTAGGGCCATTCCTGGTTCAGCTATAGGAAATCGTTATTGAAGATGTTCAGGGCACCATACACGAATGATCCAGGATTGAACCCAGGCCTCCCACATGCGAAGTGTATACTCCATCCTACTGAACTATCTCTTCAACCTAATATAATTTTTAAATTCTGTTTTGTTTGGATTCATACCTGATGGTATGGAGGGCTTGCTTCTGTCTCTGTGCTCAGGAGTCACTCCTGGGAGTGCTTGGTGGACTGAGATACCAGGATTTGAACAGGGATCAGCTGCGTGCAAGGAAACCGGTATATTTTTTTTAATTGTAGAATATCTTTGCTTGGTCCATTTACATAATACAAAATGGATTGCTAACATTTATCTGTTTACCAAAGTGGTGCCTATTTTTATTTTTGGTTTTTTTAGAAGGTTTTTCTGATTTTTTTCATTACTTATCAATAGAAAAGCTAAAAAATTGTATCATTAAAGCATGGTTGGAATTATTGAACAAAATTAACTGTGTAGGCAGAGTGAACATACTTCATTAAACTTCGTTAAATGTTCATTAGTTTTGATTAATTCTCTTTCAGTAGTGTTTCAAGTTTAGTTTCACACTTGGAGTTCCCAAATTGCACAAAATTTTAATCCTCTTCTGTTCTCTCTCATTTATCATCATAAATAACAAAATTATCCACTTTTTCATTACATGATAATAGCTCTTTCATATTAATAGTATTTGTATTCGGCTAAGTTTTGTGTAGACTGGATCCATCATGAAAAGTGCCAAATGACACAAAATCATACAAATATTTAGGATTACTTAAATGATCTGCTTTACCTTAAAAATCAGTGAATAAATATAATACGTTGTAGAAGTAAATAAGATTTTAGCAAGAAAATATATTGCATAGATGATTTGGTATAATCTTTCCTATGGTGTGCATGCAAATATAACATTGATTCTTAGGCAACTATAATTTAATAAATATTTACTCCTACATTTTAAAGAAAGATATAAAGAAAACTTAACCTTGGGAAAAGTCATTTGAAAAGCTTATTGTTATTCTCAGCATTCTCACTGGGTAGGCCTGATTTATATAAAAGTGTGAAGTGAAGTCTAGAAAAAAATGTATAAACTAAAACTAATACTTTTGGTAGATTAGGAAGAATATGTTGGTAGTGTTGGTAAGGCTTATATAAAAGATGAAAAGGAATTTGAAAGGCAGTAAGTTTGAGGAATTAATTTTAAACAGAAGAATATTTTATTTAAAGGGGTACCAGTGTGCCCCGGGAATAGCAGGATGAAGGATGAAGTCATTCCACAACGATGAAGTACAATTGGGAAAATAAAGCAGAAACTACATAGAGGCTAGTAGTTTGGTCAGCTTTTAGAGACCTTATGCACGACATATAGCCTGAATTTTACTCTAAGGTAGTTTGGAAGGGGAATGGAGGTGAGGTATTCAGATTCCTGTAAAACAGTTGCTCTGACAGGAAGGAGGAGCTTAGAGCAGAAGATGACAGTCTGAGTCAGGGGAACTGAGAGGACTCTTGAGTGATTCTTTAAAGACAGTGAGAAGCATTTAGCTCCAAGAGTGTTCACCAGACTGGAAAAGACATGCATTTGTGCCAGACATGTTAGTGTCAGATGTGGACCAGGAGAAAATGGGACCAATCAAGGGAAGACTAAACGTTGTGACTCCAGTAAAGAGAGTTGGTGCTGAAGATTGTAGAAGATATGCATCTTAGGTAGGAACAAGTGTTGACTTATTGGACATAAGTTGACTATAGAGGGTCTATGAGACATCAAACAGGAGATTCAGATTTTGGAGCCTGAAATTTATGTATTTAATATTTATTAGTCACTGTGAAATTACAAAGTTATTCGTGATTGTGTTTCAGGCATACATTGTTTTAACATCAGTCCCTTCATCAGTTCCCATTTCCTTCCACCAATTTATCTTCCTTCCCCCTTTGCCTTCCACCCACCACACTCAGGTCTCCTGCATGCAAATGTTGAACTCCAGCTCTTTGAACCATTGCTCTGACCCAGACATGCAACTTAAAGCTTTGGCTTGGTTATATATCACAGGTATACTGATAATAACTGAAAGAATGAGTGTGTTTGATAAAGAGGAGGGGCTATAGGTGGACATGTTTATCAATTTGGGAATTGCTTTTGTTTGTTTGTTTTCTTTTTTTTCTTTTTGGGTCATATCCAGCGATGCACAGGGGTTATTCTTGGCGCCTGGCTCATGCATTCAGGAATCACTCCTGACGGTTCTCAGGGACCATATGGGATGCAGGGAATCAAACCTGGGTTGGCCGTGTTGAAGGCAAACACCCTACCCACTGTGCTATCGCTCAAGCCCCAATTTGGGCATTGTTTTAAAAGTCTTAGAATACCATTGGTTTTCATTCCTCTTACACCTGGACGCTGGTATCAGCCAGCTAATGAAAACTATTGTATTAAGTGGCAATGGCTTTTTGAAAGAGTGGCAGAGCATTTCTGTAGCCTGACCCCAGTTTGCAGATTTGCGGTTAAAGACCACTAAAGGTACTAATCAGAGAAGAGGCTGAGAAAGCAATCTAAAGGATCACTAATATGTAAGATCTCACTTAGCCCTTCTTTGTTTCTTTGGATTACTTTCTAGTTTCATACTGTTGCCATCTGAAAATACAATTGGTCTAATGTTTAAGTTTTCACAAATTTATAGAAGCTTGTTTGGCATCCAAATATAGTGTATGCCCTTGAAAATATTCCCTTCACTCTTGAAAATCAAGTATTATTTTGAGGTGAGTTACTCTCTAAGTATCTATTAAATCCATTCTTCCAATTTGTTCTTTTTAATTTTATTTCATTTTCTCCAGATGATCTGTCCATTGCAGTTAGTGGGTATTATAGTCCCCAGTGTTATTGAATGTCACAATCTCTCCCTTTAGATTTCTTAATTTTATTTATTTATTTTTGCTTTTATTTATTTTTTTGCTTTTTTGGATCACACCCAGCGATGCTCAGGGTTACTCCTGGCTTTGCACTCAGGAATCACTCCTGGCGGTGCTCAGGGGACCATATGGGATCCTGGGAATCGAACCCGAGTTGGCCACGTGCAAGGCAAGCTCCCTACCCATTGCTCCAGCACAGATTTCTTAATTTTAAAAATATATTTTAGTACTGATTTTTTGGATGCATTCGTAATAATAATTATTTTATCTTCCTATGGCCGGAGCGATAGCACAGCGGGTAGGGCGTTCGCCTTACAAGCGGCCAACATGGCCGACCCGAGTTCGACTCCTCTGCCCCTCTCGGAGAGCCCGGCAAGCTACCGAGAGTATTCGATATGCCAGACACAGTAACAACAAAGTCTCCAATGGAGACGTTACTGGGCCCGCTTGAGCAAATCGACGATCAACGGGAGGGCCTTTAACCTTTTATTATCATGGTCACGGTCCTCTCGTTGTTCATCGATTTGCTCGAGCGGGTCCAGTAACATCTCCATCATGAGACTTGTTGTTACTGTGTTTGGCATATTGAGTACGTCACAGATAGCTTGCCAGGCTCTGCTGTGCAGGCGAGATACTCTCGGTAGCTTGCCGGGCTCTCCGAGAGGGGCGGAGGAATCGAACTCGGGTTGGCCATGTTGACTGCATGCAAGGCAAATGTCCTACCGCAGTGCTATCGCTCTGATCATATTATCATTATAAAATGTTTATCATTGACTCATGGTACCATTATTCATTTTTCACTTTATATCTCTCTCAAGCAGAATATAGTTGATTCTCTTATGGACAGATTACAGTTGGCATTTATAAATTATTTTATAATCCATACTGCCACTCTGTTCTTTTTGATTCTTCAGTCCACAGCAGACAAAAAGTGTAATGAAGAACATTAGAATCATAGTGAAGTGGGGAAAAGGGGAAGTTAACCAGCCATGGAAACCAAAGAAAAAAGGTTGTGGGTTGAATGTTAAGGTATGATGGGCCCGAGTGATAATACAGTGGGTAGGGTGTTTGCCTTACTGTGGCTAATCCAGTTTGATCTCCAGCATCCCATAGGGTCCCCTGAACACCACCAGGAGTAATTCCTGATTGCAGAGCAAGGATTAATCCCTGTGCTGGGTGTGACCCAGAAGACAATGAATAAAAGCAATGCAATAATTTTTTTAAAAAAATGCTATGATATGTCTCGGGGCCAAAAGAAAAAAAAAACACTTGTGCCATAATCTTTTGGATATTCAGACTCTAATTTGTTAAAGAAAGACCCTATACCAATGCTTCTTATAGTCTTTCTACATTTTCTGTTGTCCTGGAGTGATTTGTGGTTTGCAGGAATGAGCTCTAGAGCTCACCAAACCTTGATTTGGATGTTAGCTCTGCCACTTACATGTTGTATGACTTGTACCAGTGGCTAAAGTTTGATAAATATTGTTCTTATCTTCTATAAAATGCGGCTTCAATATTAGCAGCTACTTTGTGGGATGGTTATGAAGGTTCAATATGAAAATGTACATAAAATCTTTGATATATATGAAAAGATTAACTTTGAAAATTATTGTTATTA